GACATGGCGGCGGCAGCAACAATACTACAGCAAGTATAAAAGTTATGTCTTCTTTCTTTGCGTGAACATTTGGGCGGCATTATGCAAATCTTCCCACACATTGAGTAGACATGTGGGGGGTGTTTATATGAGGCGTTTTACGAGGGCGTGGACCAGTCTTAACTTTTATAAAGAATATCTCTTTGGGTTTGAGACTTTAGTCTTTGCAACTTTAGGGATCTTATCTATTCACGAACAGCTTGTAACGCTCCAAAGAGAAAGGAAAACTTGAAATCGCATCATATGGCCCCTTTAAATACAGGTGCTGCTTGTGGCATCTATCGTGATTCTATTGCTCTGGTCTAGTTGCAGCACTGAAGGGAATGCAAACTAGAGAGATGCGCCGCTGAAGGGGAAACGCGTGAATAATTTACAAATGTTAGATGCTTCTCCAATTTTTCTTGACAATGACAACACGTGTAGACTGCCTCCATTCACTTAAATATCCCCTGCACTTTTTCGATTTCTGTAAACGTTTGATTTGCTTCGCCTGTATTTGTTAACACGGGATATTCTCTAGGGCTTGTTGGACATTTAAACCTGATCACGCCTCTTGTTGGCCAGTAGCAATAGTGTGGACTTGTAAGTCGACCAAGACAAAACAAAGATTTAATGAAATCGACAAAAGTATGTAGTTTACTTTTAAGAAACATGATTCTAGATTAACTACTCTTAGTCTTGGATTAATGTATTGTAGTCTAGGTATCAAATTTATGTGAACATGTAGTGGTAATAGTATGTCCTGAGATATGGGTATAACGTTAAACAGATCTGCATATTTCTTCAAGAAGTCTTCAATGAGTCACATAGGAGCTGTGAGGAGTGTGTATGTGGGTGTGTGAGTCGCATTTTCAAATCCCACCTTGACACACAGTTTTTATCTCACTTTATTGCGAAAACACACTCACATGCACGTCATATGCTTCCCAGAATGCGTTTATGATATGCTATTTATGCATGTCCTATATCTCTTTATTTGTAAAGAGTAAGATCTTTCCTGGTTACACTAAAACACGCATGGAGAAGATAGGACACTCACAGTAGGCGTGTTCTGTAGTGATAATTTAAAGATTGGGCGAGAGATGGCAGCAAGAGGGGCTGCTGTGAAAGGAAATATGGGGGAGTGATAGAGAGAGGGATAGGGGGATGGGGAGAGAGAGAGGATGGGGGTAGGGAGGTGTGTGAGTGTGTGTGTAAGGGAGGGGGCTCGGCTGATAGGCCCTCTTATTGGTTTGTTCAAATGGTGGGGGAGGGACACCCAGCATACACCAGCTGTATGAGGAGAGAGAGGAGAAACAAAGGGTGAGATGGTGAGGGGGCACTAATATTCAGAGATAATTAAAATTCAGACAGGGCTGATGATATAAGATGCTGATACGCTCAAATTAAAAATTAACATGTGCTCGGATTCTGATTTGATACAATATTAAGCACGAAAAACTTGCTTTTAAGTATACAACATTTTCTCGTGTTTTCAGTTGTTACATGGTGCTCATTCCCAGCACTCTGTTTCCTTAACCTTGACCAGGCAGATTTTATTCATCAAGAGATCTTCGTAATGCAGTGAAATGTGTATACGCACATAAGGCAGAGGAAGCTGTGCTTTGCATTATTTATTTAAAGGACAAAGGAATTACTGGAACCCTCTAAAACCAGTGTGGCTAGTCTCAAAAAAGAGAGAGCGCGAGCAAGATCGAGAGAGAGGAAGAGAGCAGACTGGGTGAGAATGAGCGATAGAAGGAAGGGGGGAAAAAACACAGGAAATGAGAGAGGGAGAAGGGAGGAGAGCGCCCGGCCTCCTTGCGTTTAAGCCAAACCAAATCTGAGCGAATTGGCATTGGCCGATTCGGATGAGAACCGAGAGGAAAAAACTATCAGACAGAAAAAAGTTGAAGAGAAATGCCAAGAATGCAAAGGCTGGCTGACTCGCTCTCCCTTCTGAATGCAATTATAAACTACTAAATTTCTGTCAGGACCACTATCGTCAAAGATGATTGACAATTAGCATACAGTTTGGATTGGCGGTATGGTTCTGTTCTGGGCAAGAACTCCCTGCGCATCCATGCAGCCTCGCATGGATGATCGACTTGGGTGTTGGTAGTCAGCATTAATTAGTGGAAGACCCGGGTTTAATTACCTCTGCGGGCCTGTAAACATAAAAACACATCTACTAAACCTAAAAGTATGTTTTATCATTGTTCTTCAAAAATGGTATAGCACCTGGGATGTCTTAAGCTGTCTGTGAATATTCGGACATCACCAGTTGGCTGAGACAGATGAGTTTACTGATTGGGAATCGCTGATATGTCTTTTGGAGTGGAAATAGTGGGATCCTGGTCTAGGCGTCCCGTGCTGCGTCTTCCCTTAACATCAGAGATTGAATGTGTTTGCCAAGTTTCAAGTCTCTTGGCTCAATGCATGTCATGCCAAAACCTACTGAGACTTACAAACATTATAACACGTACAGTCGTACATAAATCACCCACATGCCAGCTTGTCTCAAGCCTGCAGCTCTGTAACTTAACATGCCACATACTGTTCACATAAACATGCTTTATGGCATGTTATTAATGCTTGTCAGTATTGTATGCACTGGGTTTTAAACACAAAGCCCCATAACAGCAAAACCTGTACAAATACCAATCGTGATCTCTCTGTAGTCGCTAACAAATTCGCTAGCAAATGTGTCATGTTCACCAAGGCTGCATTTATTTGAATAAAAATACAGTAAAAACAGGAATATTGTGAAACATTATTAAACATTATTTAAAATCCAGTCTTAAGTGTCACATGGTCCTTCAGAAGTCCTTTTAATATGCTGAAAAATCAGCTTTGGCATCACAGGAATACATTTTATTTTTTTATATGTATTCAAATAGAATGCAGTTGTTTGAAATTGTAATAATATTTCACAATATTACTGCGTTTTTGATCAAATAAATGCAGTCTTGGTGAGCATATAAGAGACTTCTTTCAACAACATTAACAAATCTTAATATTCCAAACTTTTGATCGATAATGTAGCTCTTATGATTTGATTATTTTAATGAATCATTCAGAAATGCTTAAACACTCAGGAGTGAGCAGTTTGAATCAGTCTGACAAATTCTTTGCTGAATGAACTCACCGAATCAATTATAATCAATAATAGAAGTTCAGTTGATATAACTATTATACTGCTCTTACTTGCTCTGCAAGAAAGCAAATATATTCTCTATTTATCTGTTTTTATAGTTATGATAGATAAAACTTATGCTTATTACTACATACTGGTAAAAAAAAATGTATAGCCTGAATGTACTGTAAGTCGCTTTGGATAAAAGCGTCTGCTAAATGCATAAATTATTAAATTATTAATTATTATTAATTATAATTATTATTAAAAAAGCATAGATCAAACTTATGCTTATTATACTTATTAAATTAATAAGTAGGCCTATCTAATGTAATAATATGAAAAGGAAAATAAAACATAACTAAAAGAGAACAAATGTTTTTTAATGTTGTAATTTATTTATTATAGCTCTCTAGATGGTTCCCAGAATGAAGAAGTTTGGGAGCCCCTGTACTAATGTACACTCCTAAAGTCTTATTTTGCTACATATTACATTATTCACATTTTCATAAAGGTCTAATACAAGAAGGAGTTAATATTCAGGATATTTGAATGTATAGTGAAACCGTTTTCAACATTTTGTAATAATATTTCACTGACAGAAGCATCTGAATCTCATTTTATCCCACAGCTACCATTTTGGGATGCTTCATTTAATAATTCATGGCTAATCTTTAGCCAAATAATTTACATGCTCTCTTTTCATTGGCAATTCACCAACATGTATAATGTATATTTTTAGTCCTGAATAAATTTGCTTTGACATAAGATTAGTCTTATGTGTCATGTAGAAAATTTACTTTGAAGTGCAAACAACTGTTTTCAGTATAAAAAGGCCCAGTACAGCTGTATGTGGTGAGTACTTTCTGAATATGTATTCATATGGCAAAAATTGTGTACAGTTTGCTTGATTAAGCGGGCGACACAGCTTACCCCACTTTCCCCTACTCTTATTCTATCCCCTCTCCTCCATTTCTCAGCCAGAAAGAAGAGGATTTAGGCTAGTTTTTCAGAGCCAAACCAAACCAGCATGAAAAAGGACAGAAAGAGAAACCCTCCCTTCCTCTAACCCTGTTTTGCTCTTCTCTGTGTAGTTTGGCAGTAGACGCTAGTGTGTGTGTGTGTGTGTGTGTGTGTGTGAACAAGCGCTCATGTGGACAGGGCTCTGACTCTGCTGTTTGGTGAAGTTCCCAGTTAGGCTTGATGGGAAATGTTTTTTATCCCTCACTGAATGAAGTTGGTTCAGTACACAAGACTGTTGAGCAACCATTGGACCAAATGCTGAGAAGAGACTCACGCTCGGCACTTACCTGTCCAACAGAAACACACTATATTTAGTATATATAGATATACACTGCCTATTTTTTAAAATCTTTTTGAAAAAATCTCTTATGCTTATCAAGGCTGCATCTATTTGATTAAAAATACAGTTATATTGTGAAATATTGTTACAATGTACAATAACTATTTTCTATTTTAATATATTTTAAAATGTAATTTATTCCTTTGATATAAAGCAGAATATTCAGCATCCATTACTTCAGCCTCTAGTGTCACACGGTACTTCAGAAATCATTAATATGCTGATTTGCTGCTCAAGAAACATTTTTTATCAATGTTGAAAACAGTTGTGCTGCTTAATATCTTTGTGGAAACCGCAATACATTTTTTTCCAGGATTCTTTGGTCTTGAATCTTGAAATTTCAAAAGAACAGCATTTATTTGAAATTGAATTTTTTGTAACAATGCAAAAATCTTTACTGTCACCTGATCAGTTTAATGCATCATTGCTGAAAAATAAGTATTTATAAAAAATAAAAAAAAACTTACTGACCCCCAAACCTTTGAACTACCATAAAAAAAGGAATATTTGGAAACTTTTGGGAAATACACATCTTGTTATACATATTATTTACAGAAATATTTCCATCTGTGCACCACAACAGAAATAAAGTTTAAAAGTGTAGGCTATTGGTTACCTTCAAAAGGTTTTGTTGTTATCTTGCACCACTGGCCAATATGAAAGTTGTGTTGAATTTATTATAATGACATCTAAAAGGGATGGATGCAGCATCGTGCAATTGCAAACATTTTCAGTTGCTGACGAAATTTTAGAAATATAATTCAGCAATAATGAATATATAACAAAAGTGTCCATCAACATGGCGGATTCTATGAGGCATCCTGCTCCATTTGATATAAAACAGCTTTTATTAAACTACTTCTTGGAGTCTTCGTCCCATGTAAATGCACATGATTTTAAAAATATTTAAATGAGAAAAAAATATTGGGAAAAATATTGGATTATGAGGAAAACATAGTGATTGCACCTCTAAAGGCTGCCCTTTTATTGCCTTTTTTTTTTTTTTTTGAATACTCCAACAGTGCAACATGCTGTAGTTGTTTTAAATAGTGACAAAGTGAAGTGACGCATTCATAGACAAAAAGAATTAGAATTTATAAAATCTACAAATATTCAGTTGCAGCTAAGCATTTGCCATTTATTATATAGAAAAAAATCACATGCAGGAATTCCACATTGAATTGTTCAGACACGCAGACCATAACAAAGCTCTTCCTATTTAAATGAAGTCTATGTGCTTCCCTTCCAGCTCACACATTGTGGAGGAGTTGTGTGTGTGTGTGTGTGTGTGTGTGTGTATAAATCAGGCTAAACTGAGGGCAATAGTGCATTGCAACTCGAGCCAGACTCTTATTCATCCTTTATATCTCAACACACACATACAAAAAAACACGCTCTCAGTCTCGGCTTCAATGATTCTCCTTCTCACGGCTTTCTGTGCTCATCCAATCAAGCTCCCTTCGGTGATGTCATCTGTGTGTGTGTGTGTGTGTGTGTGTGTGTGTGTGTGTGTGTGTGAGCGGACAGATCGAGGGGTTGAGAAGCGGCGACCATGACAACCTATGAAATCCGAGCGGCTGACATCTGTGTTGCTCTCGTTCCCTCTGTCCCTCTCAATCTCCCTCTCTGTTGTTTCTTTGACTCGCATCCAGCAAACAACCCACAAGCTTTCATTTCATAACAGACTCCAACAAGTCTGATGACCTCACGTGGCCCTCAACATCATCTTTGATTTCAAACCGCAACGACTGACCACAGCAGAAGTGTGAAGTGTCTTTAAAACAGCCAGACTGATTAAGCCCAACCCCGCTATGACAGTCTCATCATATCACAGCACCCACACACACTTCTGACCAACATTTTCCTCCTCTCTGTCATCTGACTGTTCGAATTGAGCTTTTTTTCTTTAGAAATAATTTCTTGCTTCCTGTCACTGCACTGCTCTTGCCACATCCTTTGCTGTCTCAGTTGAGACGCTCGCATATTTCCTGCATCTCAACATCTCACGCATCACAAACTGCTCGAGATCTGCTACAATGGTGAGCTTCTGTCCTATATGTGGGAAGCCTGTTTATTTTGGTGAGTGGCATTTGGGGTTGGAGGGATCCATTATTAAAATGCTTAAAACATACTGATTAAGATGATATTGAGGTTTTATGTAGTTCTCGACATTGAGAAACATCAGAGTAGAGCGCTGAGTTGCTGCATGTTATGCGTTCAGTGGCAAAAACTTCAGATCGGGTTCTGTTTTGACTTAAAAGTGTCCATTATTTTGACTTGCTGTTGCTGTATTTGAGTATATTACACTGTGTGTTCGTGTGTATAGTTGTGTGATAACGTCTTATGTTAACCACAGGGCATTCTAGAAAGAGCATAGCATATGCTAACTTCAAATTAGCTTTAGTTTCTGCTTTTATGCTGGGTCAAACAAACTAGTTTTTGTGTATCCAAGGTGTGTGTAGGCCTATATCTCAATGCCTTTGTGTAGCGTTAATCAGTATGCAGCCTCCTAACCGCCATCAGAGCCTCACAACATGAGTCACACGAGCACAGGAAGTGTCTGACTGTGGCAGGAAGTGGAATAGGCCAGGGCGAGAGAGGCTTGACTGTTTAAATTGGCAGATAACAATGCAGAAACCTATGAACACTTGAAGAAAGATGAGAATTTGGCCAGAAAAACCCTGTAGCTGCCAGTCGGCTTTAAAACCGAAGAAAAAAAGCTCCTTCTGTTATTGAGCTGGACTGCAGGCAGCTGTTGGTTCTGCCAGAAAGAGAAAAGCTGAAGGTTCAGACTCAGTCTAATTCTAGAGGTTTCATGTTCAGGGTTTCGGTAGGAGGGCTCGTGCTGGGCCCACATGAAAGGGTAATATCTACATAGAGCTGAGAATGAGAATTCAGTCCAAAATGAATGTGGAATCGACAGATTGAGGAATTTAAAGTGTAGAATCTAAGTTCAGATTCTCATTTTCCTAATTATTGAAGAGTGTGAGGTGAAAACTAATAGAATTATTCCCTTTTTTTTTACAACAGAAAATAATTTTGACTCATCCCTCAGTATGCAAAAAAAAAAGATTATATAAAACCTATGAGGCAAATACAGCACCACAAATGCTTACAATTTCATTTCAGAGGATGAGCAGAAATAATTCAGTTGAAAATTTCAAAAACAAACATTTTTAAACCAAAATCATGCACCTCTGAGTGAAAAAGAGGAAATGAAGTTCAAATATGATGAGACAGAATATACATTATTGTGTTCATATATGTGTAACAATATAACAGTAAAAGCTACTTAGAAATATTTAAAGAAAAATAACAAAATTGCTAAGGCTTGCACCACTTGAAAACCTAGATTATATAAAAATGAAAGCTTATTCAAAATATTAATAAATACTATAATAAACAGTACTAAAATAATACTAATTCTAATTTACACATTTATTAGGGTAAGTGGAAACTGTTGCTAACTACCGTAACTCACAAAACTATGGAAGTCCATGTCTGCCATGAAAAAAAAACAAAAAAAAAACAGAAAAGGTAATTGTGACTTTTTATCTGACAATTATTACCCTTTTCCCTGCAATTCTGTGTTTACATGTCACAATTGTGAAAAGAAAAGTCCGAACTGTGAGATAAAAAGTTGCAATTTCCTTTTTAATTTTTTTTATTCCATGGTGGAAACAGGCTTCCATACAAAACTCACATAAACAAAGCACCGCACACATCTATCCCATGATTTAAAATCCCATCCCTGCATCTCAATGTTCATACTATCCATCCTAAATAGCATGTGAGATTAGAATTAGTGTGTCCCAAAGCATAGTATGTTGAAAAGGGAGTCTTAGAAAATGGGGTTTGAGTTACTAATATTCAACATTTAACCTGGTTAAAAATATTTATTTTATGTTATCTGTGTTATATTTCATCTGGAACAGCAATGTAAACTTTGATAAACATCCGTTTGGCCTTAACTTTTAAATGCACCATTATGCATAAAATATTAACAGAGTTCTCGGCATGAAAGACCCGCGGCTGGCAGATCAACGTGCTACTTCTTTTCTCTCCAGTTACAGTACGGTAGGAAGTTAAATGAAATGCAATGTGGAGGATGTTAACTGTGACAAGATGATTGACAGGCCAGTTTACAGTGACAGGGTGCGTGTAATTATGCGACAGAGCGTCCGTTAAAGACTCAGTTGTGTGACGTGATAGTATGTCCCAAAGCTTGCCTACTCTTCTACTACACACTCAAAAGTGTGTACTTTTTCTTCACCAAAAGAGTACATACTTTAAGGGCGTAGTATAAGTAGGCACATTGAGACGCAGCACATGACTCTTACCAAACTAACCCCAGCTTCAGTAAACACACCTGGCTGATTGCTTAACCTTTGACCTTTGATTCATGCAGGTGAGAAGAAGAGGTCATTGGGACGGGATTATCACCCGTTGTGCTTGAAGTGTCACAAGTGTAAAAGACAGCTAACAGCTGGCCAGCATGCAGAGGTATACATATATATATACTCTTTCATATATGCTATATATGTTGCCTTTTAATGTCACTGTTTTTACATCTCTGTGCAGCACGATGAGAAGCCATACTGCACTAACTGCTACATGAGAGATTTTGGACCCAGAGGTGAGAGCAATTGACTCTATTGTATGTATGTATGTTTAGATAGATAGATAGATCGTTTTTTTTGTACTTTTTTTGTGTTTTAAGTATATTTTAATTTTTTTTGTGTTAAGTATGTGTGTGAGTTTTAAGTATATTCAAATGTTTTTTTGTTTTTTTTGTGCAGGCAGCCGAAAACCTGTTGCTCGGACCTTTAACACGGCTGCTTCTTAAGAGAGATCTTGCAGTCTTGAGAAACACGCACCATCTAGATTTACAAACAACAACAGACCTACAGTATCTGCTTTACACTGCCACGCACAGCAAACCACTGTAAAACACTGATCTGTCCTGACCACAGAATAAAACACAACTCCACCCCTTTGAGTCCATTCGTCATAAACTCATTCAAATAACCAGAACCTGCCAAATCAACAGCCATCCACGTTGGTATTCTCTCAGGGAAATGAGCTACTTCATGTTTTTAATTCTTTTGCCATGATTTCACAGCTAAGGCACCTAAATATTGTACATTCTTTTTTAATTAGGTTGTATCTTATTCCTTAGAATGAGAGATGTAAAAATATCAAACTATATATAAAACTAATGTTGGTGTAGGAGGCTCTCATGTACAAGCATCATGTGTTTTTGGTTTAAAAAAAGTCAAAGTCAAGACTCTGTATTCCGTTAATTAATCAATTAACATGAAACAATGTAATTTTTGTGCTCTATTATTGTTGTTCTTTTCTGGGATTTTGAGGATCAGAGGCTATAAAACAAAGAGTTTTTTCATGAGGCAGTAAATGTATCTACAAAGCAAAAATTACAATAATTAATCATTGTGTCTATTAGTTAGAAGCAGAAGCCTACGTTCCAAACCTCATGGTGCATAAGTGATGGCTTTATCAGTTTTTGTTAGTTCAGGAAGAATACATATTTGATTTTATCTGGGTTTCTTTTTCTCGTTAGTTTGTTGAAAGGAAGTGTCACTCAGAACTGCCAGCTAGCATGTCAACTCATTGAATCAGTGGACTAATTTAATTTCTCTTATCCTCAAATCCAGAAAATAAACTGAAAAAAGAATGTAATAGTTATTATGATTTTTATGGAAGGTTTTTTTTTTTTTTTTTCCCAGTTGAAAATTGTAATAATTGAAGATTTATACCTCAAAATGTAATTGCCTACAATTGGAATATAAATTATTGTTTTCATCTTGTCCACAAAAGTGAAGCTTTATTTATATTATGTAATTTTCATGTAATTCTATATCATCTATCTATCTATCTATCTATCTATAAATTCTAATACAATTATATAAATTAATAAATTATTATTATTATTTATTATGTATGTATTATTTATAATATTTATACAATGTAAATCATAATAATTAATAATACTTATAATTACATTAAGAAATATACTCATACATAGTGTGAATGCATGTAGATGCTTATGAAGATGAGCAGCCAATTAATTAAAAAAATCCACATGCATTCACACCAAGTATGATTTACAGAAACACCCATCATCTGGAGCCAGAGAGAGAGAGAGAAGCCTGGCAAATGGTCTTCACAAGGCCAGGGCAGTCTGCTGGAATGTGTCTGTGTGAGTGTGTGAGCTGGCAGCCTTTCTGTAGCAGACCTACTGCTGGATACCTGCTGTTGATCCTGTCAAACTCTCACATGCACACACACACACACACAGGGCCTGTTTCTAGGCATATGTGCATGTGTGAGCACGGGCACGTTCAAGTGCACATATGTGATTAGCTTCATGCATGAGAAAACATTTGCACTGAGGAAGAGCATAAATCAGATGAAGATCCCAGGTTATCATTGTGCTCCTTTTTTTCTTTCAGATTAAGACAGAGAAAAAAATGAAAGAAAGATGGCATGAAGGAGGTGGAGGGATTATTCCAGGGAGCGAGTGAGGGAGGGTGCATGCAGCACACACACACACACACACACACACAGGGCCTGTCTGTGCAGGCATGTGTGAGCACGGGCACGTTCAAGAGCACATATGTGATTAGCTTCATGCATGAGCAAACATTTGCACTGGGGAAGAACATAAATCAGGTGAAGATCCAGGACTTAGTTTGGTTATCCTTTTTTCTTCCAGATTAAGACAGAGAAAAAAATGAAAGAAAGGTGGCATGAAGGAGGTGGAGGGATTAATCCAGGGAGCGAGTGAGGGAGGGTGTGTGCATGTGTGTAAAGAGGGTTCCCTGCTGCAGCGTCTTTGAACTCACCCCCACCTTGACAGGTCACATGGTTTGTGTGATGCCAGCTGTCTCATTTGCATGTGTTTTAACTACACCACAAATCCATCAATTGGGAGAGAAAGCGCGAGAGAAAGAGAGAAGGGGCGGAGATACAAAAAAGGGGCTGCAGACACACTAGAAGAACTGATTGATGAAGAAAGATGCCTTCATTCCTATGGGCTTCAGAGATGTGGAGGTTGTTAGATGCCCACCACACCCTCTGAAGGCTCATTTGATATGTGCATGGTGAAGAGGAGCATGATCGCCCATATTGCATGCGATGGGAACAGTCACTGTTGCTAATATGGCTCATTTGGGGGTACATTTCATATCCAAACAAAAACAGTACAAAAATGATATGCTTACTCTAAAAAAAACTTTCAGGTTTTCTATATTGGTTTTCTATATTTCATCAGTGCAAGATACCTGCAAGTTAATCATTAAACACCATTTTAATATTACAAGGGAAAAGTTATTTTCACGGCTGAATTTTCCAACTATGTTGCAGACAAACTGTATGACACTTTTAAAAGAATTTTAAGAATCATATTTTTGCAAATATCCCTGTGATTTTTTTAAAATCATAAATCTGCCTCTTTGCATAACATCTCATAAAATTACCAAAATTATCTTTAAAGGGATAGTCCAGCCAAAAAAATGAAAATTCTGTCAAAATTTACATCATTTCATGATTTTCTATTTTCTTCTGTGTAACGTAAAAGAAGATATTTTGAAGAATGTTGACAGTTTTGGTTCCCATTGACTTCCATTATTTGGACAAAAAATACAATTTAAGTCAATGGTGACTGAAACTGGTTACCAACATTCTTTAGAATAACTCATTTTGTGCTCCACAGGAAAAAAAAAATAGTTCACAAGTATCATAGTTGACTCTCCTCTGATAAAAACTCTACGGCAAACAATTCATTATCATCAGGATATACAGTCACATGTAGGATCAGGACAACTGTGCTACTTTGACAAGGTAACTTATTTGACAAGTAACATAGTTGACATTTTCACCATTTTGATTCATAATTTCAGTGGAAGGCCTTGGTCAACCACATTTTATTTTCTTGATTAGGTTAGCCTCAAATCTAAAGATAGTTAAAAAAAAAATTTAGATCCTAAAAATATTACAAACCATAACAGTGTATCAAACATAGTTGACATCATTAATATATTCCATGACAATAGGTTATTGTAGATAAAATATCCAAATAAATGAGAGGACTCTTATCATAATATGTTCAAAATGTTCTATTTTCTGAAGAAAGTAAATATGCACACGAACTGAATGTCATCAGTGATATGATATGTGCCATAAAATTATAGAATGACTCGAATATATCAGAATGGGAGCCAAGCAATGCGTATGCATTCATAATATGCATAAAATAAATGTTTTTATTCTTCATTGTGAACACACTGTGCCTCATTGTTCTTGTTGGCTATTAATAGCAATAGCATCGTGCCTAATTCTTGTCTTAACTGACTTGTCTTGCATTCAGAGATGTGTTAATAAGTACCCTGAAGCACTTCATAAGACTCGGTTTGTGCTTGTGGTGGAGGTCTCACAGTCACCCACTCATATGGTGACAATGTGGATGTAGGAGGCTAATGTCATTTTACTAATTTAAGCCTGGGCTAATAGCTAATGCTATCAAAGAGTAATGAAGCAGTCCATTCATCTTTAAAGAGACAGCAGCTCTGCAGACCACACTGCGTGAGAGAACGGTGCACTTCAAACAATGTGTTGTGAGATCATCAAACACAAAGGCGTGTGGGTATTTTCAACCCTGCAATGTGAACATGTGGATGTTTTTGTTTGATATGAAAATCTCATTGATATGTATGAGACACTGTGATAAAGGGGAGTGAAGGTCTATGTGTGAGCAATGTTTTGATAATGCCATAGAGAGAATACACAGTTTTCACTTTTGAAGCGAAATCAACATATAAATCAATTATTTATAGGTGATGCTGCATATCAGACTGCGATTGAAAAAACAACACACTTTCAGCTTTAAGAAACAATGTACCTTCCAGCTCATTGTGTGTGTAGGAGCTGCTTCAGCCATGCTATCGTCACCCCCTGTTGGAGACTGGTGTTTAGTGCAGTCTCCATCAAAACAAGGGTTTATGATAAGCATACTGCATATGCAAAACACAGCATACGATTGACACTGCTGCCGTGTGCTGTTCCTAGGGGGTGTTCCAGCGGGACATCAAGATGCTGCTCCAAAGGTTCCTGCCACAGGCAGCTTGGTCCCAAAGATCCTGTCAGGGCCTCTCCAGAAATCAGTGGGAATGCCAATCTTAAAGATTCCTGACACTGCTGCTCCAGAACCTTCTGAGGTCAGAGAGGTCAGAGTTACAGACACCACACAGGTTACTTGAAAGGATGCCTTTTCAGAGCTTCCCAGGTCCCAGAGTTTATTGTCCCAGCTTGAAGGGTCCTGCTGCAACCCCAAAACCTGCTACGGTTCCACAGCTCTGTGTCATGACAGCTCCAGTTTCAAAGCTTCCCAGAGGTTCCTGACAGGGTCACACTGGGTCATTTCCACCACAAATGTTCCTCTCATGAGGGTGCAGAGATTCTTGCCACAGCCGCCAAAGAAATACGTCCAGTGCCGCCCCAGTGATTCCTGTCGTAGCCTCAGCCAGAGCTGGTGTCCAAGGCTGCTCCCATCCTAGAGCTCATCTCTCAACCTGCCTGGGCCAGCGGCGTGTCT